TTTGCCTGGTAATTTTGCTTTGCGTTTTTGTTTCAAAGAAATTTTAACTTTTTTTTTTTTTTTTTTTTTGCCAGAGGCAGCTGCCTGAGGAGCTTTATGTACTTGAGAAGACGGCGTCGGACAGACAGGCATTCGCATCCGACGTCCTATTAGCACCACCTGTACCCACAGCGTGCTGCAGGGAAGCAGCAGACGCTGCTAACATTAACAAAGACTCAAATAGAGACGGTTATCTAATGATGGCAACGGACGAAAAGGTCAAAGCATTTCGGAATCAATACAGATCATACTTTGTAGAATATCAATACTTAATTTCATGGCTGTGTAATTGCTACATGATGCAGCTTCCCGAATATTGAATGGATCAGTATCATCAGCATAATAGACGACACCACTCCAAACAAAACTGTAGATTTGACTGTCTGAGGTTTGCACATTCAAAAACTATCAATGAAGAAACATATAATCTAGACAGCATGCTTTACTTTGTTTTTATTTTCTTAGGAATCACTATTTAAGGTGTACTTTTTTATAGTATAGTTGCTTATATTGAAGTGTTGATGTAAACAATGATTTACTTTAACCATGCTATATTTTTGGTCTCTTTTTCTCTTTGATCTGTTTTCTTTCTTTTGGACCAAATATTTGTTTGGCATGTTTGGTCCATTACTCATATGAAATAAGAAAATCATAAAAATGCCACTTTCATGTCCTCACGTAAACTAAACCCATGTTTTGTGAGTAAAAAAGTCTTATTTCAGTTACTTGGTATTGTCCAACGTCAGTATAGGTGCATTACATGTGAAACGTATTCGTCAATGTAAGGTGACATTTTTCATGAATTCATTTCTGTTCATTTGATTATCAACGTAAAACTAATAAAATCTCAAACTTTTGCTCCTTAGGAAGGTTGCATATTGCATAAGACCAACTTAAAATTACAGTCTGCAGTAATACAGGGATGCTACGCTGTGGCATATAAAATCACAGGAAGATCTTTGCTAAAGAAGCTGCTTTTCAAGCATATGATTGGCAGTTAAGTGGAAGGGAAAAGTGTGGTTTAACAGAGATCCACAGGCAACAGGGATAACAAAAACTTTAAAAAAAAATAAAATAAATGAAGCGATGCCCATTTAAGAGTTTAGGAGAGGCTAATGATGTGGACTGTGAGACGTTTAACCCATAATTTGGCAAAAATGGTTATGCTAGGTAGTTATTTTATTGCAGCTGCACAGCTTCATGCTCCCAATGAGATACAAAGATGGATAATACAGTGGTGTGATAGGGACATTAGAAAAACAATAAGACAAAAATTGGGGCTACCAAGAATGAATTAAACAAATAAAACGTTCAAGACTTTAATGAGGATCTTACCTTGTGGAAACTTCTAAAGTAGGCTGCCTTTTCGTCGGGATACTTTTCTAGCCTCCTGGGTCCTTTACTAGAAGCCTTTTTAAACACCAGCCAACACCTCCTGAAGATCTGCCACAACAAAGAATAACACAGGCACAGTTACACAAGCAGTGCACAATGATTACTGGAAAAACAGCAACAATAAAACACTGGAGGAAAAAACGTCCACAGAGGTTGACTGCGACGACCCAACCACCAGGGAGTCTCCTCCTGTTTGTTTGTCGGGTTGGCCCTGCCATCAGAGGTAAGAGATGCACCTGGGGCCGCTGCCCTGTAAAAGCTGTTCCTGCCTGCTCTTCATCGGTGGCCCCTCTGCTCAGTGGAGGGTTCACACTGTCCACCACTGAGGTTTAGTTTCTGATTTGAGTTTTGCTTCATATAAATTTCCACACCAGGCATTCAGATATCATATCACTGACAACGGCTCAAACAAGTTACGTCTTGGGTTTTTAGTTTAACAAATTATTATTTTTTTAAATACCACCACCCTGTGTTCTCTCTCCGAGTCTCTTGAAGCCCCTGAGCCAGGCTGTAACATCAAACATGAGAAAAAAAAAGGTTTTATGCTGAATTTATCTATGAATTGAGGCATTTTTAAAAAAAAATACTTTTATGAACAAAAAGTTATTCATTGACCAAATGACTCAATCATACAGTTATTAAATAATTAAGCTCAGATATAACCGTTCATACTCATGTTTGTACAACTTTGATCCTTAAACTGTTTATAGATGTCATTAAAAAATGTTGTTGTGCCCCCCAAAAAGGCACAATTTCATCAATTATCTGGAACTGATAGTTTCCTGATTTTTGCAGCAAACGGAGCGCTCTCTCTGTAACATGCTCAAGCTAGCAGCACCCCACAAAAAGACACACCACCTTAGGGGAATCATTTTTGGCACCATTTTGCCTTTGATATGCCGTATTCTCTCCTGATATTCAGGGGTTTAAATGTTTTTGACTAAAAATACAATAACTGGTGTTAACAACTTAGCATATTAACTAAATATTTAAAGTCTACATTTTGATGATGGGATATAATACTAGTGGTCATCTCCCATTGGCCAATTCTTCACCAGTGTATTATAAGCCTGGCGGGCCACTAGGCTTTACTTGTGCCCCCACCAGGCTAAGCATTGCTTACTTATTTAAGTTTTTTTGTGTGTGTGTGTGTGTGTGTGTGAACACACAAACATGATCCAAAATGTCCCCACGGGAGTGGGTTTAACAATTTAATGTTTGTGTTTGTTTGTTTTTTTTTCACTATGAACATGAATTTAGAAGAAGCTTAAATAAAAGAGCCATGCATAATTCCATCCACTGCCGAACACCCCTTTATTATGCAACTCGTGTTTAAGGGTTGGCATTTGTGGGGCAGTGATAAATGATATAATTAGACTGAACAGAAGTACAACTAAATCTTATTTTAAATTCTCTAGCCCTGCTTCAGAGGAGCGGTCCTGATCAAATTTAATTGAAGCTGACTGGAAACGAAAGACAACAAACCCCCAGCTGTCACAAGACTCAGGACTAACATGTTGCTCGAGCCTGACTGGTGCACAGACATGACATAACCTTTTCCCTGCGGAGCACCCACCTCTTCAAAACAAGGATGAAATAACTAAAACAGCTCTAACCTGACACACAGAGAAGGTGATTCAGAAAAGGTGTTTTCGAGCCTTTTCTGTGCCGCTCTGGGGCTTTCGCTGCTACACAGAGGCAAATTCTGACACCAGTTGTGGACTGGAAGTGAATTGTCAAAAATCCCTTTGAATAAAAAAAAAAAAAAAAAAAAAAAAAAAAAAAAAAGGGAACAATGTTTTTTCTCCGTCATCCGGGAATGAAAACTTACATTTAAATATTTAGATTGCCGTGAATTAATATGCTATACTTAATCTTTACTCAGATCTGTATTTACCTTTTTTCAGTACACTGAAAATCAGGGAAATATGTCTTTAAAACTCAAAAAAGTCTGCTTTCTTCACTGAAGAGGAAAAACAAATACTTTTAAAGGCAAAAATCTGTGTTTAAGTGTTCAAAGTGCTTCCAAATAGGCAATTTAAACCTGAAAGCTTTGTAGAAAATACACTTTTGCACAAGCGTAACAACTTTATAACTTAGTTTGAACCTTCGGAAATGGGTTTCCATTTTTAGGTGCTCAGCTGCACACGCTGTTCCTGCCTGTTATGATGTAATGTGCAGTTATGCACAGAAACACACACACACACACACGCACATGCGCACACATCAACAGCCAGTCACACATTTGCCCTTTTTGACCCTGAAGATTACTGTACTTTAGTAATTACTAGACCGGTCTGGCCCATATTCTCACTGTGGCTGACACCGGTGCAACTTGGAGTACCTGCTTCAAGATCAAACCATAAATAGGACACTCGACACTGGAAATGGGTCGGCCTCAGATTTCTAGGAACACCGCAGCTTTAGCCAGTCGCAGTTTCAAAAGGGCAACGTTTTTGCATCATGCAATTCTGAGAGTGTTCCGTATTTTCAATGAGATGCTGCAGACAGCGATGTTAGAGGAAAGTAAAGCTTCCTCCACCACACTAGCTGCTGCAAGCCGTCAGTCAACGGTGTATGACCAAAGGAGAGGAAATCTCCTTCACATTTTTTTTTTTCAGTTATTAAAAAGAAAAGCTATTTTACAAGTTATCCTGTTGGGACAATTTCAATAATGCTTGTTTTAAGGTAACGGAAAAAAAACAAAAAAAAAAAAAAACAGTCGGTAACAAGTCATGTTGTATAAGGATACAGAAGAATCCGCTGTCTTACTGACCTTAGACATTGTGCATTATTTACGGTTACTTCAGACAATAAAATATTAGAAAACACAGGAGAATATTACAGTAATTCTATTTGTACTTTTCCTCAGTAAGACGTATGTGAATTGCCAACAGCTAATCAAAATGCAGCTGCAATGCTTCTGGCAAGATTCTAAAAGCACTCCCATGTGACGCCTGTATTGATCACGCTGCACTGGCTCCACGTTCAATAAAGAAGGAGTTTAAACTTCTGGTTTGGATGCATGGTGACACATCTTCATAAAGTTTCAAACTAAATAGAGTATTTCACCTCAGGAACAAGGCTGCACAAAATATCACTGGTTTGTGGTATTTACAGCAATATCACTGTACACAATGCATGTCGCAAAGAAACGCCTCGTCTTACTATAACTTAACAAAATCATTATCATTGTCATGCATTCAGACTGTATGGGTGTCACATATTTGGTGACACAGCTGGTTGTTTAATGAAGCATGCAATTTGGTGTAAAGCCGTGAAGTCATTAACAACTTACATTCATGTTGCAAATGCCAAAACAGCAGACAGATTGAAATTTTGAATATCATGAATATTCTACTTTCTGTCTGGGATCAATGTTTGCCAACAACCCAAAGAAAAAGACGTGAGCGCTATGAATTATTAGTTACTTGTCACAAGTCTTCAACTTTGACCAGTATTGTTGTGTATCACAAGTTTCTTTCTTTTCTGTCTACTGCTTAAGCCTCTATATTTTGCATATTTCAAGAAAAAGCTACTTATTTTGTTTGACTATTGAAATAAATGTATATTTACTCATTTACTTCTTAAAATTTCTATTAGTAGACTCACCTACCTACTGAAGGGTAGGCACCTAAGCAGAGAACAAAGGTAAATACGTGAACTTGAGGCTCTGAATTTACCTTTACATAGACGCAATAGCAGTAATGTTAGCTGCATTTCTGTCTTTTTAAGCAAGCACCTACTTCCTGTATGCATAACTAAGGTTACCAAAATCTGTCTTATATCGTCCCATGCCTACAAAAACATGACTGTCCAAACCTATCATTTTGATATTGGCTTCGATCAACGTGCAGAACTCTTCAGACGGTCACGCGTTAAGCTACTTTATTGTTCTCACAGCTACCTGAAGCAGAACAAGTACGGTTGAGAGGCAGAATAAGTATGAATGGCGCAAACCAGCGGGTCCTCTGCGGTTGTCTGTCTTTAATAGTAGAAGCTTTCTATTTCCAGGTGGAGACAGTCTCTATCACTCCGTCTGATGTATGATTGCCCTGGGCTGCATGGTTGTGCTGGGAAACCATGGCTGGACGATTAATTTGTTTACCCAGCTGGTGTACTCTATAAAAGGCCCACTGAGTTGAACTTGGCACTTTGCAGTAAATGACTAAAGTGGATCCCTAGGTTCTTATCGGTCTGCCTTAATGGGTCTCAGTTCTAGTTAGGTGTTGCACAGGCCCATAATAAGCAGCACATAATAGAAATCCCTTGTAGTATACCGTCTACTTTGTTGTAATGTGCTGCCAATAATTCTTCTCTCCATAATTATAACGCCCTGAGGAATTAAAGAAACAAGTTGGGGTGACCTCCATTTATCTTTGGTCTAGTTTCTATAAACATACGCCAAAACCGCTTACTTAATAAAAGCACACATATGTGACTCTCTAATGGACAAAACTACAGTCGAAACTTTAAAACAACCAAATTAAAAAGTAGCCACAATTCCCTTTTGGGGGGGTGTGGAGGGGGCTCGAGTCAAACCAACGCTCGATGCCTACAAAGTAATTCAGCTAAATAGTGTTTGGATTAAGCAACAATACAGCGGCACAAAAGCTGAGATAGCTTCTGCATAATAAGAACAAGGGAGAATGAATAGAAAGGACTTAATTTTACTTGTTCCACAGTTGCAAGTGCTTTGTCAATGCAGCCCTATTCTCCAGCTGCTGGTTGGGTCCTATTCAGTGACACTTCTACACCGATTGTAATTACACACGGGGAAAAGCAGTCTCTTTATTGGGTTGGTGTGACTCATGATGCCACGAGGGTGAAAACCATACTGTTTGGCTATGCAAGTCAATTTACTAGTACAAGAGAGAAACAATGGGATGATGAAGAAAGGGACAGAGAAAATAAGCCCCCAAGATTAAACTCATCCTCGAGTTTTTCTTCAATTGCATATCCGCCTCTATGACCTGGCCCATACCAGCGAATAAGCACACACAGTGTATGTTACTTCCGCGACGGTGTCAGAGAAGATGCATCAATTAAAAGAAGAGCGGCCCTTTGAATTTGCTCAA